TGCTCGCCGCCGAAAGCCGCCGTCCTAACAAAACCAGCGCTCCCGCTCGAGATTTCCTCCCGTTTTACCTTGGACTGGCGCGCTAGTCTTTCTCTCATCGGCGCCGCCCCCAGCAAAAACAACGTTGCCGCTCGAGGCTTCCTCCCTTTTTCACTGAAGGCGGTGCTCCTCCTCGCCGCCGAAATCCGCCGCCCGGACAAAACCAGCGCTCCCGCCCGAGACTTCCTTCCGCTTTACGCTGGACTGGCGCCCAACTCTCTTTTGAATTGGCGCCGCTCCCAGCAAGAACAACGCTCCCGCTCGAGGCTTCCCCCCTTTTTCCTGAAGACGGTGCTGTTCCTCGCCGCCGACAGCCCCCGTCCCGACAAAACCACGGCTCCCGCTCGATGCTTCCCCCCGTCTTACTCAAGGCGGTGTTCCTCCTCGTCAACGAAAACTGCCGCCCCGACAAAACCAGCGCTCCCGCTCGAGACTTCGTTTTGTTTTACGCTGGACTGGCGCCCTACTCTCTGTTGAATTGGCGCCGCTCCCAGCAAGAACAACGCTCCCGCTCGAGATTTCCTCTTTTCCTCGGGACGGCGCTGTTCCTCGCCGCCGACAGCCCCAGTCCTCCTCCTCGCCGCCGAAAGCCGCCGTCCCAGCAAAACTAGCGTTCCCGCTCAAGACTTCGATTTGTTTTACGCTGGACTAGCGCCCTACTCTCTTCAGCATTGGCGCCGCTCCTAGCAAAAACAGCAGCCCTGCTCGAGACGCCCTCCCTTTCTATTCAGGGCCGAGTCCTTGCCTCACCGCCGACAGCCCCCCTCCCCACCAAGGCAACCCTGTCGTTCGATACTTCCTTATGCTTTACCTTTCGCTCGGGTTCCACTGACGGTCTCGCATCGGCGCAGCAAGGCGCGGGCATGTGTTTTCGAGGCGGGATATGCTGAATTTCCTCGGAGGAGGTGTTTGCAAGACCTCATTGGGCGGGAGATCTGGGAATGGGAATAACGGACCCCGCTATAGAACAAGAGCCCCCCATGATGTGGATGGTTATCCTGATGGTCGCATGCTTCGTGTGGAAACATCGCGCATGACGGTAATATGATTGTTGTTGTTGTTGTTGTTGTTTTTGTTGTTGTTGTTGTTGTTGTTGTTGGTGTTGTTGTTGTTGTTGTTGTTGTTGTTGTTGTTGAACATTATTAATTCTAAAGAATAATTATTGTTGGGCCCCCTGGTGCGCGCCCTCCAACCCCCGCGCCTAGGCCGCAGCCACGTTTCATCATTTTCGTGAGAAGCCTCAGGTAATTCATGTCATCCAGACCTTGGTTTTGTTCACCCCCCGCTTTCCCCTTGCAAACAACACCTAAAAAAATGAACTTCTTGTTCTCATAAGCATCTAATTTATAATAAATCTATATTATTAATCCATAATATTATGATTTATTTGCATTGCTAGTAAATTATTAATTAATTAAAAACTAAGTTGTTGAGGAACATCTATAGCGAAAAATATATTATATTTATATTCAAATAAATGCATATAAATTATTCATTAAAAGAAATAATATATATCTTCGAATATTAATCCGGTAAAGTAAAGAAAGATATATTCCATTGATAATTTTTTTGCTGACTCAATTTCAAGAACCTTTCAAAAAAAATAAGGTAAAGTGGACATTCGCGCGCGCATGACGAAATCCTTCCAAAACCTTAGTTTTCGTAGCGATTTTAACATAAAAACATCAAAAAACCAATGGTTTTTCAAAAAAAAATTGTCGAAATTTCATCCGCGCGCTCTTGCGGATTCGTAGGAAACCCAACACTTTTTAAACATTTCTGTCAAACGGGCTTTTGCGAACAACTATTTCGAACTTCTGCAACAACGGTTGTGCACCTGCCAGGGCCATCATCCCTGTCAAATAATACCATGCGGGACACATTCGTTTTTTCTTCGCGCGCGGCACGCCGAAATCTCCAAAAACCATTGGGTTCGGTGGTGTGGGTTCCACGCCAGTGTAGTAGCCGCGGTCGTCCGCATGCCACGAAGTGAAGTGTCCGACCGTCATAGGGCGGGAAGCTGGGTGTGGGTGGTGGCGAAGAGTCGTTTGGAAATTTGGTAGAGCTTGAACCGGCCCCCCCACAAAGTGGGGGGATTGCCCGCCTCCGATGAAAACCCTGGCACAGGTGAGAACACTGAGCGTTCGGTAAAATGATTGTTGTTGTTGTTGTTGATGTTGTTGATTGTTGTTGTTGTGTTTTTCAATCGTTCTCGATCTCGTTATTGTTAAATCACCCCGCGGCACCACTTGCGACCCAGCGACCCACCCGCGACCCACCCGCGACCCACCCCGCCTACCCACTACCCGCGACCCACCCCAAGACCCACCCCGCGACCCACCCCGCGACCCCACCCCCCGCGACCCACCCGCGACCCATAGCGCGACCCCACCCGCTACCCACCCGCGACCCACCCGCGACCCACCCCGCGACCCCACCTCCGCGATCCCATGCGCGAACCCATCACCGGACCCACTACACGACCCACCCACGCGACCCACCCGCGACCCACCACCCACCCCCTCGACCACCCCGCGACCCGCCCGAGACCCACCCGCGAACCCACCAACGACCCACCCCAACCCACCCCGCGACCCACACCGCGACTTGGCCCGCGACCCACCCGCGACCCACCCGTGACCCAACAGTGACCCACCCCGCGATCCACCCACATTGCTTTAAAGAAAAATCGGCGCCTGCGGCGGGCTCAATGCATAATTTATAAAAGTTAGGCGCCTGCGGCGGGCTTCTTCAGAGCCTCTCGCTGCCCCCTCACTCTTATCCGCAACTGCGAAATGCTAATAATGTGCGTATGTGTATGTATGTGTCTACGTATGTGTTTATGAATGCGTATGTGTATGTGTATAGGTACAGTACAGACATACGTGTAAGTATAGGTATAGGTCCAGGCGTATGTATATGTATATGTATAGTTATATGTAGATGCGTATGCAGACGTATGCGTCGATGTATGCGTACATGTAGGTATGCTTGTGCATGTATATATATATATACATATATATGCATGTATGTATGTTTACACATGCCCACCACCGTGCACTGAGACACGAGTTGGAGTGTTTCAACTTCTTGTCCTCAGTCCTCGAACCTCAGTCCTCAAGCCTGAGGATTCTCTAAAAAAGGCCCGGACCCCAAATTGCCAAATCTTCTGGCGTTCCTGGCGTGCCTCTGGGGGCGCGTCGCGGCTGATCACGTTCCTTGTCGGGCCTAAAGCCCCAAGATGGGCCAACATGGCCCCAAGACGGTCTAAGAGGGCCCCAAAACGCTGAACAATCGGTCGAAGCCGCCCAAGATGGCCTTCAATCTGCCAACAAGCGCCCAAAATGTCCCAGGAGGCCTCCCGGAGTCTTCCCAAAAGGCCCCAAGACCGCCCCAAAACGATCCCAGAGGCCCTCGAGAGGGTCTCAAGGGGGCTTCAAGACTGCCCCAGACGGCCCCAAGACGGCCCAAGAGGCGCCAAGACGAGCCAAGAGGGCCCCAAGAGGGGGAGCCTGAACCGAAAATTCAAGCCTTCCGCCCCAAGATGCCCCAGGAGGCCACCCAAAGGCCCCGAGAGGCCCCCAAGACGAACTCAAGAGGCACCAAGAGGCCCCCAAGAGGCCCAACAGAGGCCCCCTAACAGCCCCCCAGAGGTTGTAAGACTGCCTCCAGAACGCAGTCGAGAGGCCTCCCACGAGATCCCAACGAACATCCAAGAGGCCTCTCAAGCACAACCAATGCACGGTGGCGGGATGGGCCGAAGGCCATAAGGTCCGCCGCCCCCTGCTTGCAGGGGTGCACGGCGTGCTGGACGTTTCAGGTTTTGGTTTTGGTTCTTTTTCTAAAAGAACTCCCCAGTGGGCTTCGGCCCGTCCCGCCGGCCACCCGTAATTTTCCCAAAATCCGTCTGTCAATGCCTTTGTTGCCCCAACTTGGCCCAAGATGGCCTCCAAGACGGCCAAGATGGCCCAAGATGGCCTCCAAGATGCCTCCAAGACGGCCACGATGGCCTCCAAGACGGGTAAGATGGCTCCAAGATGCACCCAAGACGGCCCAAGAAGCCCTCCAAGACGGCCAAGATGGCCCCAAGATGCCTCCAAGATGGCCCAAGAGGCCTCCAAGACGTTCTCCAGGAGAGCCCGAAGAGGCCAAAATCATTGGTTTTCCTTAGGGTTTTGAAGGTTTTTTTGCGTTTTCTTCTTTTCGGCCTTCCGACGGCCCAAGAGGCCCCCAAGATCGCCCAAGAGGCCTCCAAGAAGGCCCTATGACGGCCCAAGGGCCCCCCAAGACGGCCCCAAGAGCGCCCCAAGACGGCCCAAGAGGCCTCCAAGACGCCCAACATGGCCTCCCAGACGGCCCTGAAGCGCCCCAAGAGGGCCCCAAGACGGCCCAGAGAGGCCCCCAAGACGGCTCCAGACGGCGTCAGACTGACCAGGAACGCCCTAAGACGGCCAAAGAGACCCCCAGGAAGCCCCAAAAGGCCCCCAAGAGGCCCAAGGAGGCCCCCAAGATGCCTCCAAGAGGCCTCGAAGAGGCCCCCAAGAAGCCCCCAACAGACCCCAAGGGTGCCCCAAGAGACTCCTAACAACCCTCATCCTCCTACTCTATTTCTTCCTCTTCCTCTTCCAGTTCATAATCATTCTCTCCCATGTGTTCCCCGAAAGCTTTCCAAACCGACTCGGGGAACTCATGGTCCGATAGCTTGGCCAAGCTCTAGTCCAACTTTCGGCCACATCGGCGTTTCCAAAAAGGCAGGGGGCGGCGGTGATTCGCCGTAGGCGTCTTCGATTATATAGGATGTATTACAAGTCGAATGGGGGTAAAGGGGGAAAGGGATGGAATAATTATATTAGCAAAAAGCGTTGGACAATCAGGTCGGCACAGCGTCGCAAGGTGCAGAACACGCCACACCCAGTATGCGGGGAATTCGGCGCAGTCCGCGCGCCGTTCGGCGCGCTCTCCTCGCCACAGTGGCCCTCGAAAGCGAAGGCGCGGGTTCCGAGCATCCGCGCGATGCCGAACACGACGGCCTCGCCAGGCGAGTGGACTTGCAAAAACGTAGCACATTTCAACGAGGAAAGCTGAAGGGACGACTGGTAGGCAAACAAACCACGAACGTCAACAAGTGCAACGAAGTGGCGATGAAATGATCCTGGCACGCCTGGTTGAGAGGGCAAGTTCAACTAACTGGCAAAGATCGGAGATTCTAAAATGCAGACCACCATGGGCCGGCGAATCGAACATGCAGCGCTACAAGACGTCTGCTCCTGGCTCTCTCACGATCAGTTGCCGCAGGGGCTGGGGCCAGGGGCAGGTGTAGGCCAGGGGAGAAAGGTGGCGAACGATTACCACTACTAGGAAGATAAGAGAGGGCTCCGAGGTCCAGAGACCAATGGTGCGGGCGAATCGATGACATTCGGGGCGTGCCTCGGGGTCCCGGGTGCGGAAGTCCGCGTTGGGACCTTTACCGTAGGGTCGCCACGGACGTGATTGGACGGCCCTCCCTGGCCAGAACCGCTGCAAGGAGAACCATCCGCGACCACCAGTTGGACTCGACGGTTCGAGGGAGGAGGAGGAGGAAGAGGAGGAGGATGAACTATAATTGCGGGTGACATGGGTGAAAGGCAAGAGACATGGCAGTAACGTATGAGATAACAATGCATGTCCTTTTCCGTTCAATACCGTGTCGCATGCGTGCAGGCTATAAGCCACATGGCAGCGGGCCCGCGCGCTCCTATTCGAGTCGAGGATACTAGGCAATGGAGAAGGTCCCTCCGCAACGCTTCTGCAAAAGAGGGCCACCCGCAATGATGTGCCAAAACATTCACCGCGTGGCCATCACAATGGACGTTTGGCACACCTCACCCATGTCTCAACATCCTTAACCCGAACGGGATACCGTGAATCCTAGGAACCCTGCCGGCTCGCTTGTGCTCAGCCTGTGCACGATATGAGCTGAACTGAACCTGACCAGGGTTGTGGCTCGTAACGACTCCCGACCGCCGGAAAAGCCCAGGGACAGGCTCTATACCCAATGCGACCCGCCGATTTGGCCCCAGTGCTGTCGTGCCAACCTCGTAGTGTAGGCGGTGCTGAGGCATCGAAGCCGGGCGCGCGCACATGACATCTGTCGAGTGCCTGGCGCGATGTTCCCGCCAGAGCATCGCGATGAAGGCGTTCATGTTGTTGTCCGCGTTGCGCCAGTCTCCTGCGAGTCAAGAAGGCCCGTACAATTGACGGAGATCCTGGCCGGCAACTGATGGCATGGAACGGCTTTTCGATGGTGCTCGTGTCGAAAGGGATCTGCGATGGGCGCGTAGTCGGGTCACCCTCGCGGTGTTCGTCGTACCTCAGTCATCCAGCGCCTTGCAGCCGGCACATCAGGATCAGATGTGCTCGAGCCCATCGGCAAGCGGCGGTGGCTGTCGATCCGCATGTGCACGACTGCTGCACAGTGCGTCTACGAAGACAGGGAAGATCTCGTGCCAGGTGGTGGCACACGCACTTCCGCGTCGGTCCGTGGCAGGCGCGGCGGGGTTCGCGTTGCTGGCAAGGCATGCCAGTTCGGCCAACTGTCCCTGCCTCAGAAGTAGAGCCGCGCACAGCCATAGCGGCCGTGTCGTTCTGCGCGGCGCTATCGGGCACATGGCGGTGAGCCTGGTGGCTGATGTCCCACGGTTAGCGACTCTAGGCGCGTCCCGCGGCGGACCGTGGGAGCCGTTCGCCAAGGTTCAATCAAGTCGGACAGCTGGCGGGTCGAGGTGACCGCGCAATGGTCCCGCCTTCGAGCCCTCTTGGAGCCCTGCTGGGATCACAGTGCCTCGGGACAGGCGTGCCGCGCGCGTCGGCGCGCTCGCGTGCAACTGTCTCTGAGAGGGCGGTTTCGTTAGTGTAGCACAGGCAGTGCGTGGGCGCGCGTTGGGCAGTGCAGCGCCGCTCCCTAGCCGCCACCCCCGATGGGCGGCTATGGCACTAGGCCGCTGTCGGCGAGCAAGAGCCCGCTCCAGGGGCTGGCGCGGGAGCGACGAATGAGGTGCAGGCGTGGGACCTCCAAGGCCCGGCACTGCTGCGCATTGGAGCTGCACTGGCGGGCCAGACCCATCTACGGCAGACTCAGAGATGTCCGAGTCCAACTTCGTGCTGATGTCTGTGATGAGGCTCCTCCTCCACGAAAGGGAACAACACACACACAAAGAACACACACACAACACACACACACACTGCGGGAAAAAAACACACACAACACAGTGTGTGGGACAAAAAACACACACTGTGTGTGATTTTTTCCCACAGACTCTTCGTGCTGATGTCTGTGATGAGGCTCCTCCTTCACGAAAGGATCCGCGTCGGCAGTGGCGCCAAGACGCGCCGTTGCCTGCGCGTGCGACGCAGGCGGCGCGAGGTGGAAGTGATGGCACTTCCTGGCGAGCCACTGCACCCCAGAGCTCTGGTTCGGCGGCGGGCGGCCAGACCTCGCCCTCCAGCTCGCTTCTCGCGCCCTCGCGCTCGCTGGGGCAGCGCGCCGAGCAGCGCGTCGATCTCGCGACGCAACCTGGAGGGGCCCCAGTTGGAGGGGCCCGGCCATGCAGTTCGCTGCGCGGATGCCGTCGGTGGACTCGTCGAGCGAGCCGACTGCGCGCAGGCTTTCGGCGGAATCGGTGAACTGGCAGTCGGCGGTCGGCGACTGGGAGAAGGCGACCTTGAACGGCACGCGGGCGGACCCGTCGGGGTCCAGGCTCGCGAGCTCCTACTTTGTCTGGCGGCACTCCATGTCATGCCGCATGCCGTAGTCCCGCGCGAGGCTCTCGACGGCTCCCCGTCTGCTCTCCGAGTCTGCGCGTCTTCGCCACGAAGGGGTTCGCCAGGATGCGGCTCTCGAAGTCGCGGCTCCGCATCGCGTCGGCCCCGCGCGATGCGAGCGCCAGCCACTTGCCGCCAGCACTGGTCATGGTGTTGCTGATGGTCTGGCGCCGCTGCACCTCCGCGTCGTCGCCGCGGGTGCCCAGCTCGACGATGAAGAGGTGCGAGGACAAGACGCGGCGCATGGCGCGGGCGTCGACCTGGTCCGCCGCGCCGCGGCCTCCTCGTTCAGCACGCACGCGGTCTGAAGCAGGTCCAGCGACTCGTTCGCGCTCGGCATCTCCAGAGTTGCGGCCATCGCCGCGACTCGCCCAGCGACGCACGGTGCCTGGCGCGGCGTGCCTTGGGGATGTTCTCCACGAGCGCGGGGGGCTTGTCCTGCAGGATGCCGACCTCGTGCGCCTCTGACACGTTCTGCTGCGTGCCGTTGTGTTCGAGGCCGTTGACGAGCCAGTCGTGCTTCTTGGCGGAGTGGCCGCGCACGATGTGGCGCGCTGCCTGCGGCCCAAGCTGCCCCGCCGAGCTCTCGGGCAGCTCCTGGCGGGTCTGCCGCGCGCTGGCCTCGACGCGGCTGAGGCGGCCAGCGGCGGCGCCGCCGCCGCCGGGGACCTCCTCGAGAGCGTCGAAGAGACTAGACTCGACATCATTGGTGAACGCTACGCAGTCGGACTGCCCTGCGCCGCGAACGGCCGCCTCGCATCCTGCGGCGGTGGCGCCGGAACAGCGCGCAGGACGAGGGCCGCGGCGAGGGCGATGGCCACGACGTGGCGTCGCGACGGCATCCACGGCGAGGCGACGCGGGGGTCCGCCTGGAGGTCGGGCAGCTCCTTGACGTGCGCGAGGGCCTCTTTGGCCACGACTGCGGCGTTGCTCGCTGGAGGTCGCCTGAATTGTTGGCGAAGCATTTATCGGATATATGTTGTGTGCTGCGCGCGCGTGCCTGCGCGCGCATGGATGCATGCCTTGTCGCCCGGGCGCTCAGGGCCGTGCTGCGTGGTGGCACTAGGCCAAAGTGGACTGGCGGTTGCGCATGAGCTGCGCCGCACGCGTGAGACGCACCGGCTTGATCTCGCGAAATCCGCCGTTCTGCGAGACAGCGGTTCGTGATCGTAGTGGCTTAGCTTTTGGGCTCGTGCAAGTCATCATGCAGGTCGTGGTCGCGTGGGCGGGGACGGGCGCTGCCTGCTGGTGATGCGTGAGAATCGGGTTGCGTCTATTACCCCGGCAGCGTGGCCGATGTTCCTTGGGAGAGGCGCTGCCTCGGACTCGTCTGGAGTGGAGGCAGACTGCCCAGCGGTGACGATCACGCTGGTGTCAGCGATCATGTAATTCATGTAGTCCATGACCTCCAGGACGGTGGTGTGGGCCGTTTGACATCGGTGCAATCAGAGCCGGCGCCGTGGCTGTAGTATCGCCTGTCGTGCGTCGACGGCGTGGTCGTCTTTGTTGTATCAGCTGTAATCGTCGGTGTCGTCGACGTTGTTGTCGCGCAAAGCCTGGTCGAATTGCATGGGCCGCACACGGGCGCGCAGTGGCGCCGGGCGTGAAGATGATTGCTGGATGCGGCGGCGCATTGGCAAATGCACTGGCGTAGCATGATCGGGCAGGCCGTCGCGGTAGCACGCGTTGTTGGGCTGGTCTGGACGCCGGCGCGCTTTCGACGGCCGCGCGCTGGGCGCGCGCGTGCCACGCTTCGGCGCGCGCGCGGCCGCGCCGCGACGGCGCGGCCGTGCAGCGCGCGTTTCGCGGCCGTGTTTGCATAATGCTCGACGTAGCGTTGTTGCGTGAGGCGCCAGCCTGGCGGCGCAATGGCGTCGCGGCGCGCGCGGGGGCGCGCCGGGCGCGCTTTGCGCCGCCACGCGTAGCGTCGTGGCGCGCGCGAGGGCGCCCCGCAGACGCGCTGCGCAACCGCGTGCCCCCTTCTAGGCCATGATGCTCGGGCGGGGCGCCGGCGCGGCCTGGCTGGCGCGCGTCGTGGCCGACCTGTGCAGTGGCAAGTGCCGCGCGTGAGCCCGGATGGCGGCCCATGGGAGCGCTGGCTCCTGTTTGAATGCTGGCAGGACGCGCCGCAATGGTGGTCGTCGCGCGGTCGGTGGTCGGCGGTGCGACGGGGGGGCCAGCCTCTCCGTCTTCTTTTCGTCGCACGCGCCTACCAGGCACGCGATGTCGA